CCGCCCCTCTTGGATACCAAGAAGTCGAATCCTTCCATTTTTTCCCTCATACTCGAGCGTTGAATTTTTTTTTCACTTCGTTCGTCGATCTCGAATGCACCCTCCGAAGGGAGTAAAGACGACGTTCGCCATTTTTCCCATAAAAAAATCTGCCAACTTTGCGTTTCCGGTTCGCGCCGCTTCTTCGAGAGGGTATACAGAAAAGGGACCGTCGGGTAAGAACGTGGGTAGGTGAAATATATATGTCAGTGAACTTCCGGTTGAAATAAATAAAGTCACGCCACAGTCATCCCCGCGTTACTCCCGTTTCGCGCGTTATTCACGCTTATTTCCATGGCGGCAACTTTATCTTTTTTTTTTCTTTTTTTTTTTGTTTACTCTAAGGCAAAGTTTTCGTGGGCCCGTCGACGAAAGGAAGAAGCCCGAGTTTGGAAATTCATGAAAATGTCGAAATTCGTGAAACAGGTCGGAAAGCGGTACGTCTCGAGAAATGGATACGGGAGGCTGTTAAAGTGGGTCGTTGAATTTGACTGTATCGATATCGTAGAATCTTAGCGAATTCATTTGATTGCCCCTTTAACGTGAAACCAATGAATGTCAAGCAATTTGATCGACCCTCGTCAATTTTGATATCCCCTTCACGCTCGGATACCCCTTGAATGCACATGCACTTGCACCCGCGTCATTGCAAGGCTTGCGTCTGCTTTTACTTGGCGCTTTCTAATTACCTCAACTTTGTTATCTTCCAGGCGAGAAACCATTCAAATGCGAGTATTCCGGGTGCGAGAGGCGTTTCGCAAACAGCAGCGACCGCAAGAAGCACAGCCACGTTCACACGTCCGACAAGCCCTACAACTGTCGTGTATCTGGATGCGACAAGTCCTACACGCATCCCAGTTCGCTGCGCAAACACATGAAGGTACGTTGAGAGGAGAACATTTCTTATTTACCTTCAAGCTTGACATAAGCATAAACTGAGGATAACGGCGGTGAACAAAGTATCATTGATAAATATACGACACGGCAAACTTCCAGTAGGAACAAACTGAACGGATCGGTGCGAGTGGATCAGATACGGATTAGATTGAAAGTTGGGAATAAACGCGAGGAGACCAAAGGATGAGCTCAGGGAGGAGCCGGTCCATTGGCTGCTACGTGTGACGAACCCAGTGGTCCTTTAGGTGGAATCGAGTCCGAATGTAGAATGGGTGGGTTAGGAAGGAGGGGTATGAGAGAATTGAGGATTGGTGTAGGGGGGACAGGACGGGGGGGGAGTCATCAAGTTCCTTGGTACATTCGATGAGAACTGCTTCGTTCCATTCGAACTGCGGACAACGTAGACGTACAACAAGACAAGACGGACAGACTGTCCATCTTGTGCGGAGAGATGGAGAGCGTGGAGAAAAAGAGAAATGATATAAAGAAATGAGGGAGGGAGGGAGAGAGCTTTTGGGAAGAGAAGTCGAGTCGAGTCAAAGTCAAGTCCGAGGTGAGTCGAGAGGAGTGTCCGGACTGTGAAGTTTACGCGCGACCGACCACGGAATCTTAATAGGAAATTACCGCGTGGCTCCCTAGCAAAGCACCTAGCTCAACGTCGAAGTTGTACGTTGCCGATAGGATTCGAAGGAAGGAGTGCTTTCGCAGCTCCTTTCGTCCTGACCACGCACTTACCCCGCTCACCCCGTCGGATCGAGATTGGCGGAAGTCGGCCCAGGAGATTTCCGCTTTGAATGACTCGTGCAGGGGAAACGCTCGTATCTTAACTCCTGGCTGTAATTTCCGAATGGACTGTTGATTTTGATACTCTGTTGATATTCTGGTTTATCGTCTGGGTAACGCGGAGGGTTTGATCCTTTCTTTGGCAGATACATTTATCATTGAATTTTGATGTCTTGAAAAATTGATGGATGATTGAGATATTTACTTTTTTTTTTTTTTTTGAATTAATTACGTAAAATAATGTATTAATCGGGATCGTCCTTGTATTTTACAGGTGCACGGTATGACCCTTGGAGAAGGAAAGATCGGCGGTGGATACGAGAGCGAAGGAGAAGAGAGCAGCAGCAGTGGGGGTAGTCTGTCCGTGACCGGACACACGGAATCGCCCCAGCCACCCCCAATCGTTCCCACGACGACGTCGACGTCGGTCCCGGCGACGGCCAATCCTCCAGCGACTCATCCCTCGTCCCGGGGTCCCGAGCTCACCGAGTGGTACGTCTGCCAACCCCCTGCGGTCGGATCGCAGCACAGCCCACTATCGGGACCACCCCCGCCACACCATCTCGGACACCATTTCAACCCCCTCATGCACCATCAGGCCACTGCCTACTAACCATGGTTGATCTGAGACATCGACAAGGTGTCCGTTCAACCGGAACAAACCCCTCGAAGATGGGGTAGCTAGATTCTCCACACCCCCCACCATTCCCCTCCCTCTTCCTCCGACTCCTACAGCGATATCTCAGGGTCGAGATACATTGAAGATTTTCTTCGGTCCTTTCGCTAAGGTCGATCGTGAATTTTTGTCCTTGTTCGGTAGTTGCACTATTTCGACGTGAGACTTACGGAAAAAGATCGTGACTGTTCGTTTTCCGGTCGATTGTCCGGTCGTGACGAACGCAACGATCTCTCGTGTTTTTAATGAATTTTTTTTTTTTTTTTTTTTAATGACAATTCGACGAAGACGTATTACCTGAATTTTTAGTATATACTTTTTGTATCGGATAGGCCGAGAATATGGATAAGTTTTTTTACATCGAGACTGATTTTGGATTCGAAATGTTGACACGTACGATTGACCTTGGTAATAAAAAGTTTTATCGCCTTGTCAAACTTATTTTTAAAACTTATTTTTCACACGCTGACGAGACGTTGCGTTTTAGGAAAAACCTAGGAATCGGTTCCTATTGATAGTTTACGATTATTACGATTTTTCATAGCGTCATTATAATAATGACGGGGTTCACTTTCTGATATTAAATTTTCACATTTGCGAAAAAGCACTTTCGAATGGACTGACGTGTGTCCGTGTGATAGGTAATTGAAAGTAAATTCACGTATGTCATTGTTTAAGCGGTCACCCTCTGTCATCGTATGTAAGTAGTCCCCTGCGAGTGACGAAAGCGATGGCTTTCCTAATTCCATTAATTGGAAAATTTATGCGTATTAAGACGAATTTGAGTATATCGATTATCAACTTTTTAGGTAAAATTGCGAGAAAAAAAAATAATGATCGTGCATCGGTGTCGATGAAAATTCGGCACGGAGTAAGATTTTTAAGTCGCCTTGAACCCTCGTGTATACCTCGAAATTTACTGCCTACTACTTCAAGCTATACTTCAACTTCAGTGCGTACCTGTATTTGCTGTAACTTCAAAAACAAAAGTTATCGTCGGTACTCAAGTGTGTCACATCCGATTCTCGTTGAGCAACCAATTTGGATCTCGTAGATTTTGTCACGAAAAAAGCAGAGCGCGTTCAGCGAAATTTCGTACCTTTCACGATAATCCGTTTTGAAAAATCAACAGGTAGAAAAATATAATGATATAACAATAAACAGCGAAAGTTGAAGTTTTTTTTTTTTTTTTAAAAAAAAAGATTATTTTCATCAGACTTCATGAAAGCTTCCAAGGGTACAGTAGTTCCCGCGAGAATTTAGGATCGCAACTGGAGCACCCGGAAACGGATGTACAAGTTCAGCCATATTTGTGCCTCAAATTGCTTACCAAAAAAGAAAAAAAAATATCTAGCTACAGTCTTTTTTTTGTCCAACAACGCGTTACACGGCCCATAGACGAAGTTAGTGGTTAGTCGAATTTGGGGTCAACCTGTAAATAGCAGTAAAAGCGAGTTAACGATTTTACAAGCGCATGGATCGTTGAGCCGTGATTTATTTTCATTAGACCACGAGCGCAAAAATGATATATATATATACTTATATATATATATATATATATATATATATATATATATATATATATATATATATATATATATATATATATATATATATATATAGATATTTTGGAAATATTATGACAATGTAAATATTCCAGTCGTACGTAAGTTAAAGAAAAACAAAGCAAAAGTTAATGCTAAGTGTTCAATGTATGATATGTACTGCGATTTTATTGTGTGATATTCTGTATATACGTATATAGGGAACGTACGATCGATAAATAACAATTATTGTAACGATTATTATTATTTCTGTTGTGTATATGCTTAGGACCTAAAGTATAGATTGGAATTTGCGACACTGTACCATATTATAATATTTGTTTTGCAAAAATCTGAAATATATTGATGATGCGAGATATATTAAAAGAATATCGTTATCTCGATTACGATTGTCCACGACCAAAACACAAAAGTGCCCGATCCTCGTGACATATCCATACGGACAAATTTCAAAAAAGTCCTTCGAGAACCTCGCGGCCTTATACGTTGCCGGTATATTCCAAGGACCTTCCCCCCACAGAGCCTGCCCGGACGACGGACGGAGAATATTTTATTTTCCTCGCGAAATTTATGAATGAACAAGATAATAAAATTCGCCTAAGGTATTCCCGCAGCCGAGGTTTCGCTCCGGTGGAATATCGACCGCCGAAACGTTCGGCGCAGCTCGATCTCGGTTCCCAGATTACACTGCATCGATAAATAATAAATCGCATAAAGCCAGTCGCCGAGAAAAGGTTCTGTTAATTGTACGGGGTGACGCTAAGAGTATCAATTCGAGAACCGAGTCGCGAGGATGATTCTCGAATTGATACTTTTTCATCACCCTGTATGTATAGATAAAATTTCTTACATGAATTTTATACGAATAACTACGTATGACTACATAGGTGTATGTAGTAAAAAAATTGTTTTTTCTTAAAAAATCTCTGGCATCCTAGTAAACGATTATAAGAAAGGGGATACATAGGTAAGATAGCTTCACTCGAGAAATGGGAGACCACTGAAAAGGGTGAGGTAGGATGAAACGCATGAAATGTTTGGCGCCAGGTTGGTCTAGGTCCCAAGAAAAAGAAGATGCTATCGGCATCCGCGGGACCCATACATTTTATTGCCTGATACCAGATGAATTCGTCAGATAATTTCCGGATCCCCCCCCCTCCCGCCCCTTGCGCGACGCTCAGCCACTCCAGATGATTTTATTAGCTGCTCTCGCCCGCGCCAGAATTCCGAGAGGGTTACAATTGAGATGACACACCCCTCACGAGATCACGACGGATAACGGTTGCCCAAGGTGTCGTAGATTTACCGATTGCGTGATTGATGATTTTTTTTATATTGACCAGGTCAAATGGAGAACCCTTCAGGTGCTTATGCATTGTCCGATATGCGAAAACAGTAAATTTCTTCAATATCAAGAAAAATGGAAAAAAAATAGAAACACGTGAAATGATCTTTATTACCTAAATTACCTGTATATAAAGCTGAGCAACAGATCATAAAAAATGATACGCCATAAAAACTCCATAAACTTCGTCATACTTTCTTACAGCTACTGTACTGAAAATATTTGAAAATACACTCTAATGTTCTTCGATCTTTGATCGATTCACGAATGCTATACCAGTGTTATCAATACCAAGTTTCCTGTATAGAGCATAGAGAAATGGATAATTGGTAATTATCAATTTTGAAAAAATAAAATTTAATTATAACCACTACTACGCTTGTCTAAAAATAAATACCCTATCGTCAGTTTAGCCTTATTACAGAATATTGAGAAAAAAAAAGATGAGTAACGCCTCGAAGCAGTGTCAATTAGTACAGGAATGTAAACACTGTAACACACATTGCTTATTAAAATTATGGGAAAGTCCACAAATCCATTTGCCCCGCTATATAAAATAAGTAAAACCGAGAAGTTACGTAACACGTTACTCAGTTAAATCTTGATCCCGTCAAAAGCTCAAGATTTCCTTTCGCTTCCATAACGTCGCTAGCTTAACCATATACTCGAGACACCGTGTAGTTCTAAAATACGCATCCGGAATACAGCTGAGCAATGAAATTCAGCGATGGAAACACCTACGTCTTCATACCGGGTTCCGGGGTAAGCGTGAATTACGAAATAGCCAAGCGGACATTGTTTAACATTGAAAACGAAAGACGTCCGACTAACAAAGACAGTTCTCACCAGGCACCTTGTTCGACTGACGCGCCTGTAAATTCAGTGATCCCAACTGGCCACAATTCGCCCCACACTGGCAATCTGATTCAACTCGTATATCGGAACCGACTCAATCCGCCTCGACTGGAGTGAAGATCGCCCATACATTCGTACCGACACTGGCTGCTCAGTCCCTGCCGAAAGAGCCAATCAGTATTTACGTCAAAGTACCAGCAGGAAAGTATACCTTGAAACGCAGGACAATATCGTGTCCGAAGTAGGCAGATGCACCCTGGGTAATTCGAATAAAAGTTCCTTCTACAATAATAATAACAATCGCAGGACAAGTAAAAATAATAAATAAGACTTACACCGTATGGGGCTGGTAACCTCTCGTAGCGATAACGGAGAATCGACGTTATTTTGAGAAAGCTTGAAAAAAGTGTAACGCGAATGCGCCAGCTGCTACAGAATTCGTAAGTATGGACGAGCTTGAGATTATAAAGAGATACAGATATACAGGGTCGTCCCGAAGAAGTGGATCCGCTAGGTTCAATATATCAGGAGGCGAGTAAAGCCGAACTGTATCGCGCATCCTCGGTTGGCTCGAATGAATAAGGTGGGTGTGTGTGTCGGCGCGCGTATGATGTACGGGGGGAGGGGGGGGGGTTATTACAACGGCAGCGAACCACGACGGGACTGCGAGCCTTTACCTTCCATACTCTTTGGCCCTTGATACGATATATAACGTCCTTCTCGGATATGGAATCATTCGAGTAGACGGGTAGAGCCAAACTGGTACCCACGTTGCTTGGTGTTTTATTATTATAGCCAAGGACTCCTACACCTCCACGTGTATCGACAGTTGGCTCCCATAACCGCAAAGTGTATTCCGTGGCAAGCGACTTCATCGCGGTACGATAATTTCAGATCGTATTGTAAAATATTTACAAGGAGCCAGTGCCACGACAATGAGACGAGGAAACGCAGGAAAGTCTTTCCTATCTACGTGGACTTCGAGCGGGACGGGTGGAGGTGCGGAAAGACAGAGGGAGCGAGGGCAAGGGGAATGGAGGGAGAGAGGGCAGAGGTAGAGGTGGTGGTGGTGGAGGTGAAGGTGGACCGTGAAGCAGGAGAGCGCAATTTGTAGTCGTTCTCATTTGTCACTGCACTCCATTCCTCTTCTTTTCCCTCGGCGAGCACTCCCACGCTTTCTCCCTCTCTCGCTCCCGCCCTTCGTCCTCTGGCTGGTTCGTCAGAACGAGAGCTCCAGTCCCGAGCGTGTTTGGGTCCTGAAACTACCGGAGCTCGAACGACTTGGTTATCCGAACGTGATGCTGATCATGCAGACTTGTAGATTAATTATTGTAGTGAATATTACGGTTGATGTAGAAAATAGATATTTGTATTTATACGTAGGTTTTTGGTTAGGTTGCGTTTTGTCGGGTTGAAACACACTTTTTAACTTTCGGTCTGGAATTACTGCCTCCAACTGTCGATGCAAAGGGATGATCAGGTGGATGGTGAAAATTTGTAAGAGCTAGCCGAACGGAATGACTTCATAAAATAGTAAGATTCTTCGAACGTTTCAGTGACCAAATTTTGGTCCGAGCGTCTTTCAGGCTTACGGACATAAAACCCATAGTGGGACATTGGGCCTGATGGTATTTCGGGTATATTAACACGTAACACATCAAAAGTGGGTTTTGGTTATGGCGCGCAAGGTACCGCGAGAGCGTACATAAAGTTGGACTACGTAATATTTTATATCGTGTAAAACCGGGTTTGGAACACAGAACAGTGAAAACGGTCCTGGGACCATTCACGGGAACATATAGCGCGAGCATAAACGTCCACGTAAATTCGAGGCTAGTTAGGGAGCATAAAATCATAGACGCCTTACGAGGATGCGGTGTGTAAAAATCATAAAGTCAAGCATTAACCCGCGTTCACGAAAGGAAAGTGGGTGGATTTGGGTTCCATCTCGGATGATCGTGTCGCTACGATTGGTATACTTGTCTTTTTTTTATTTCTATCGTATACCAATTTCCTTTCTCACTTTATTCCGTTGATTTTCCCATAATGCTCGACTTCTACCAATTTACAGTTGGTATCCTCGAGTTTTTCGTCCTCTTTACGAGGCAGCCTTGCATCTTATTTGGTCGCCTCGAAATCTTGGATCGAACCGCGTCATTCATTTATTTTTGAGATATGTACGTTTAGCACGTTTCTTTTTTCTTATCTCTCACTTTTCGTTCTACGTAATGGCCACGTGACGGGGCGAGCAGATAAGGCGTGGATACGTCCAGAAACTAATACGTCTACGTGTCTGCCACAACAGAACGCGTCCGTTCTTATTATTATAAATTATTTATTTGCATTTCTAAATGATCCTTGAAAAATCACGGTATTATGCTAATGCCATGATTAACATATAGGAGGCCCACCATAATATTTCACCTTGCTTCACCGTTTAAGCTGTGGGAGTTTTAACCCTGCCGTTTTAGGCCGAACTCGATGCGAAAGCACGTCACGGTGCAGGTTTCTTACCGAAAGATTTTTTCATTCGACCATGTATTTATTTTATTTATTTAATAAATTTTCTACTACTTAAAATTTTGCGGTATTACGAAATTTTATGTGAAAAACAAATTTTTTTAATTTATTATCAAAATATTGTATCTAACAATAGGAAACAAAAATTAAAGGGATGACATGTTTTCTTGAAATTCATAAATTTTCTCTTGGCAGCAAACTGACAATACTTACTGGTATACGTTGAGATATTTTTGAAAAATAAAATACAAAAATCAA